CCTCTTTACAGAGCCAAAGTACGGGCAGTTTTGCAACCGCGCAGGTCTCTCCTCAGCTGACTTCCTTGAATAAGACGCCCTTCAATTTTTAGCGTAAGGATTTTAGAAAAAAGGATCGTCTTATAGTTGGAAAAATACGGTATACACTCTCTCTCTCTCCTGCAGCTGCCACTAACTCCTGGTGACTTTATTGACAAATCCATGAAGTTTGGAAGTGGTTTACCACTGCCTTCTTCCCCAATAGGCTTTTGACTGCAGATCTAATGTTAATCCTTAAGCTCTTTTCAATGCAGTGGTACCTACTTCTGAACAAACAGAACTTATAACTGCAGTACAAACATCCCAAATTATTCAGAGCATAGTTTAACCTATCGCTTTTTGATTTTTATTGGCATGCAAAATAACACATTTCTCCCCAGGTGCTGTTCTGAAGCATCACCCAGATTTTCAAAAGCACACAGGAACAATACTGTGGATGTTCTGATCATTGATGCACTTTCTATGTCCTTAGGCTGAAAGAGAGCAACTATTCCAAAGTTGTAACATCCGTATTACTTTACTCAGACAGCTAAGAGAAAGTGGATTGTATAGACCATTCGGATAGATTCTATATATCCTTTTCTGCAACGCAGCTGAACACCAAGATCGGGATAGCTCCTAAAGTGAATATGTCATATACTGTCACCTAAAGTGCAATGATCCAACATTACCCTGTCAGCTTTGCAGCCTGAATTTCCATGACCTAATATTCTAAATTGACATGGACAAATCCTCTGGAAGTTAATGGAGAAACTTAATGATTTTGGTGCATTAACTGGATTTAAAATTAACAAAGAGAAAGCTAAAATATTAACAAAAAATATGAGTATAGAAGATCAAAAAGAATTGACTGGGAAAACTGGCTTTCAGACTGAAAAAAAAAGTTAAATACTTGGGTATTAGTATATGTATTATGAATTGTATGTTATTTCAGAATAACTATGTGAAGGTATGGAATGAAATTAAGAAAGATTTATTAAGATGGGGAAAATCGCAACTGTCATTGGTAGAATTTCTGTGATAAAAATGAATGTATTGCCTAGAATGATGTTTTTGTTTCAACAATACCAGTCTTGAAAAATGATGCACATTTAAACAGTAGCAAAAAGATATATCCAGATTTGTGTGGCAAGGCATGAAACCAAGGATCAAATATAAAATTCTGCAGGATACGAAGGACAGAGGAGGACTAGGTTTACCTGACTTTAAACTGTATTTTGCAGCCTGCTGTTTGGTTTGGGTGAAAAAGTAGGTGTTGCTGAGAAACAGAACAATGTTAGAATTGGAGGAACATAACCTGAGGTTTGGTTGGCATAAATTTGTATGGTATGATAAAGTTAAAGTTAATGTGGATTTTAAAAATCTTTATGTGAGAAGTGCCACAATTAAAATATGGAACAAATACAAACCCAGGTTGTGCCCAAAGATACTTCCTGGGCTGAGACCAATAAAGGTATTTTATAGAAGAGAAACAGCAGATAAAGAGAAATGGCTAACATATCAAGGTTTACTAATTCAGGAAGATGGAAAACTTAATCAAAGAGAATAACTGGCTGCAAGAGGGACAGAGTTTTCAATGGTTTTCATATGCACAATTAAAAGAAAGATTTAATATAGACAAAGGGGTAATTGGAATTGAAAAATATAAAACAATGTGAAAATTAATCATGTACAAATGACAAACATGTAATTGCAAAAACATATAAACTTTTGTTAAGCTTTGAAACTGAAGAACAAGATTGTATGATAAAATGGGCTACCAATTTTGGTTATAATATATAGATGGGAGACAATGTGGGTAAATGGGATAAAATTTACATTGTCTTATAACTTAAGAGAAAGTTTTTATAAAATGATGTATTGATGTCTCTCACGACATCAGAAAAATGATCAAAAATGTAAAAAGGTATCTCAAATCAATGTTGGAAATGTGAAAAACATGAACATTTTATCATGCACGATGGACTTGTGAAAAAGCTAAGAAATTTTGGATATAAATACACACACTGATACAAAGAATTTTAAAGATTAATATTGCAAAGAAGCCAGAACTCTTTCTCTTGGGACTTATGAATAGGAAATTAGAAAAGACTCATGGAAGACTGATTTTGTATAGGGTAACCACAGCAAGACACACAATACACACAATGATGGAAGAACGCTGAAATTCTTACAATGGAGGAATAAATGGAGTGTGAAAATGTCAGAATTAGTGGAAATAGCAAAACTGACCTATTTGGTCAGGGAGAAAACAATAAGTACTTTTCTTTTGAAAGACTGGAAGCCTTTTATGGAGTTTTTGCTAAAAGAAGAAAAAAGTAAAATGATGATTTATGGATTGAATGATTGAAATGATGAGGATTAAATAAAAGGCTGAAGGAATAGTTAAGAGGGATGATAAATTTGTTAATATCTGCTGAAAAGAAGATCAGAAGTCATTTATTTTCTATAGTTATCTTTTTTCTTATTTGTTAATATCTGCTGAAAAGAAGATCAGAAGTCATTTATTTTCTATAGTTATCTTTTTTCTTATTTGTTAATATCTGCTGAAAAGAAGATCAGAAGTCATTTATTTTCTATAGTTATCTTTTTTCTTATTTGTTAATATCTGCTGAAAAGAAGATCAGAAGTCATTTATTTTCTATAGTTATCTTTTTTCTTCTTTGTACCTTATTCTCTTTTTTCTTTTGTTTTTTAGATTCGTCTTCTACTT